CACAAAGCATATATCGCGAATCACCCATAATCCGAGATCCAGTATCTCAGGCTTTAAATATATCAGACATATTTTCAGCACAGCGATTGGTCTAATGTTGAGGAGAGCGTTATACCGTTAGACTCCATTTTAAAACCCGATGAAACGGAAACATCGTGCGAATTATAGAGGTACGATGTGTCATGCACGTCGATAATAATCTATACGAATGTTAGCTCGACAATCAGCATCTTAGCTTGCATCTTTCGCAGCTCTTATTCCTCTCTGAATCGCAAGATCCAATTTATTATTTACATAGTGTGTTACATCTAAATCTACTTCCTCGGATGCATTGGCAATTAACAAGAAATTCCTTGGGATAATATTATTATGAATTTGAGTACAAACAAACGCACTATATATAATCGTAAAATAATCGCAGTACTGCTACAGATAAAATATAAACCATTATATGTACATACAAAAGATTATAATTTAGCTACAAATATATAGATTGTAATTTAGCTCAAAAAATGTTTTATCACTATTGAAATTAATACGAAAAATTTTATTATCCCGTAACTTTAATTAATGAGTTGTTAGCGTTTTGCATTTTATGATTTCAACTTCTGACAATTTCTGCATTTTTATTTTTGCCGTTTTTCTTTAAATGTTTCATTAAACTGTATACATAAACTGTATTAACAGTTCACAAGACCATAGCTGGCGAACGAAAGAGATATATTGCGTGTTCAAATGTACCTTCTCCTCTCGATAGAATCGTTACGATGCATCCCTTTCGGAATGACGAAAAGATTTATATTCTCCTGAAGTAATTAGCAAATCTTAGACATTAATCCGTGAGTCTTGAGATACATTTTATAGCATGTTATATACAGACGAAATGACAGAGGAAATATACGATTTTTTTCCATTAACTCGAGTTTGTTGCATCGCTGTAACCATCTCTCACGCCTCTCCTACACCGCCAAGCTTCTTTTCGCAAGTTCGCCGCCTTTTCTCACGACGAAGTCTTTTAACCCGGGAATGAACAAACAATTCGGCAGGTTGTATTTTACATGTTACTTATATGAATCAGTTCTATAACGAATTTTAGGTAAGCATGTGCATGCTAATACGATATAACTTAATTCTTTTATTACTTGAAAGGAATTTATTAAAGATCCGAAGGATATAATTGAAGAATCTCTTTGATCTCCTGTATTTTTAGGGAATCTAGAGAATAAAATCAAAAGATTCTAAGTTTAGTTTTAAATGTTACAAAGAAATGTAATCGTCATGTTTTTGTATTGCAACAAATAAAATTATTTTCGCGCGTTTGAATCGAAATCTGAATATACCGATGTCAATGCTTGATGTAAATTACAACCGGCGCAGCCATTCCCAGGTTAGACTAATCGTCGATTTAAGAATGCTCTACGAAGACATCGATGAAGCCTTTTATCGCAAACCTGCACGAGTGCATAGACAGCGATTAATCGGAATTGCCCGATGTCGAAACGGGCATTTATTCGTGGCACGTGAGAAACATTTTCACTTCATCGCATGCACGCTTTGAGCTGCAGAAACGTCTGCAGTTCTACGAGGCAAGCCTTCAAAGTGTCTAAGCGTGTTTGCTACGTATACGCACTAACCAGAAAGATTGAAGAAAACAGAATGAATCTATTGTTTCTGTCATTGCTATACGGCGAGAGAATTGAGTATTTTAAAGTAAACTTTCGCTTCATTTAGGCGCCCGCGGACGGAGACATTGGAAGACGATCGAAGATGCAAGGAAACTACTTAGGTCAGTAACACATGCAAAGAAATTCAGCAATTCTTTGTTTTAAGAAACCTTTTTTTAGATAGGATTCTAATAATATATGCAATATTGCATAAGAAAGTAGATTATTAATTCTTGCACATAATAATCCGAAAAATATTTTAACATTCCTACTTCCTACATTATCCTAATTTCTTTCATAAAAACTAGTTGCAAGATATAATTATTCTTTATTTCATTTACTATATCTTGCTAATTTAATCACTGAGGGAATAACCAAAGATATATTTTCAATTGCTTTTTAAATATAGTCATGAAACACTTGTATGTATAATTTTTAGAGAAATCTGCCAGTCGGGCAGAGTTAATTACGAAGACTATTTTCTTTTAGCACCAGGCAAGCCGATAACTTTCAATACGTCTCCTATCTTCTTGCCGGATGGTCAACGAACTTTCGGCAATCCATTGAGCTATCTCGGTGGTCCGAAATTACCATTGAGAAATAGATCCTCTGTCGAATCGGTGTTATCATTGGATTGATCGTAGATCATCCGTGCTCTAAAGGACTATTGTGAATAGCCACAAGAACAACGAATCGTATTACCCCGATCAAATCGGAAAGTCTCGAACGTGTTGAGTGCCAAACTCATAAATATCATTTTATGAATATTTTTGTATATGCACGTTATTATACCAAACAGATTAAGAGAGAAAGAGAGAGAGAGAGAGAGAGAGAGAGAGAGAGAAAGAGAGAAACGTGTCAGATTATCCAAACAGCACGAAAGTCTAAAATACGTCAGGAAGACATTTATATATTTGGAACATATTTTAGACATCTTTTAGACTTTTGCCTTTTGAATAATTAATTACTTTAATGATTGCTACGAAAATAAATATCTGTCGATTAATCAACTTAATTAATGTTAAAGAGCGCACTCTATGCACTTAACACATTTGACATTTTCCATTTTCAGTTCATCTTTCATTATCACAGAGTTATCCGCTTCTCGAAAGGCTCGTGTTAATAGCTCGCACCGAGCTATAAGCTAAATAGTTTCATCGAAAATAGATTCGCTCGGACCAATATCGCGATCGGCGAATTTTACTCGTGACAAGACGTTATAGTTGCTAATAAGGATTTGAAACGTGATAACGAGCTTAACAATAGTAACTAGTAGATCGTTACGAGCTCGATACGGTCTCTTTGCAGCTGATAGAAAGCTGCCGTGCTCAAGTATATCGTTCCACATACAATCTCATAAGGGTGCTTGTAAAAAATATCTTGTAAGTCCGTAGGATAATAATTTCTTATCTCTATTGTTGTATAAAGCGAGCTCATAAAACAATTTTTCCGTTCTTAAAGAATCTCAAAAGTATAAAAAGGTCCACTTTTTTCTTATCCTCCCAAAATTTTATCCCGTTAGAGAATAAAATGGTGAACAAATTTCAAGCTGCTGACGGACTTTGACCAAACTCGTATTAACTTAATCGGTGATTAGGGTGATTAATTCAACTGGTAGAATCGCTTAAAGCAAAATTTCTAACTATAAAATTTATTGTTCTCGAATCAATTTGTTTTATATATTAAACAATAAAAATTAATAATTGTATTTATGTTAAGAAAATAGTACGAGTATCGATAAGCTAATCACTAATTAAATTAATTGAAATTTGGTCAAAATCACCCTGAAAGCGACTTCGACCATATTCCGAATAATTTAATCAGCGATTAATTCAAACAAAGTCGTTTAAAGCAGCTTTTTCAATTATATAATTTGTTTTCTCCGATGCAATCTTTTCTTTCTATATATTGAATAACAAAAAATTAATAATCCTATCCATTAAAATTTTTTAATCCACAAAATTTTTTCCTACACGTTAAACAATAAAAAATTAATAATTTTATCCATGTTAACGAAATAATATGAATATTACTTGATAAATTTGATTGATTTATCAAGTAATATCTTTTGATATCAACTGATCTTTGAATTAATCAGAGTTTGTCGAAGTCACCCCTCAGTCATGAAAGCAATTTCGATAAAACTCTAATTAACTTAATCGGAGATTAATTAAACCAACAAAATCACTTAAAGCAAATATTCTAACATATAATCCATTGTCCCTGAATCAATTTTTTCCTACAATAAAAAAGTAATAATTCCATATCCGTGTTAATAAAATAGTATAAAATATTGTTCGATAAGCCAATCATTGATTAAGTTAATTAGAGTTTATCGAAGTCATCCTGTTTGTTACATCACCTTTCTTTCTCATATCCTAGTCAAGGATCAATCAATTTTCTGTACAGCGTCATGGTAGACACGTATTTGTAAGTTACCATGTATGACTGCCTTGTACGTAGACACAATAATATGATGATGTAACAATAAAAACGTATCACCACCACGAAAAAGGGACCACTCTATGTACACCGCAATAAGGCGCGGTATTTAATAATTAATAATTGCAATGGTCGTGCGAATAAACGATTTCTATAAGGAATATTATCTTTCATTTCTGCCAATAATTAATAAACGTACCTCGCTTAATTGCCGGCGTCGCGGTTACCTCTCCAACCTCTCCTACCATTTTGCCAGACTTCGAAGCCAGACTTTCCTCCAATTTCTTCCTCATATCTCCGCCGACCTAAAAAAGAAAAAAACGGGATATTAAACTTATCCACGAATAATCAATATAGAAAACACAGCATATGTGACCGCGGAGTAATTTCGTCGCTAAATGTATTTAAAATTGTCTGGCGCATTGAAGGCGAAGAAGAATAGAAATCGTTCGAAATTACATGCGAGAGTTTAATTACCCTTTTTTCATCGGAGCAGCCATCTCGCGCTCGAACCCTTCCCTCGCCGCGGCGCGACGTCGCAAAACCTGAAAGAGAACATCGAGGAGAGAATGAGTGTCAAAAGAGCTCCACGCCGCGCGAGTTTCCAAATCAGAAAGGTGCGCGCGAAATTATCGCCGCGCAGAATTATATCGCGAGAAAATATTTACCTTCACTTCATCGTTCGCGTCCGACCGAAAGCTGTGTCTCGCCCGTCTCGCCGTCTCGCGACCGACCGGCGACCGTTAGGATTTTCGTAATCGTCGTCACCGTCGGCCGCGAGAATCGCAATCTCGAGGGAAGAGTGCAACGTGAACGGCAGGGAACGGCGACAACTTCGGGCGGCACGCGCGCGCGAGCTCCGCGAGCCGCGAGGTTGAGGTTGAGAGCCCCGGGACACGTCATAAACAAGCAACATGGCCGACCGTCGCGAGTATTGACAAGGCGCATGCTGGTGTTTACAAACTGGACGAAGGACTCGGCTACTACTCGGCTTCGTCGATGAGACTCTGACCCTGTCGGCGGTCGCGCGACTCGTCCTGCCATGGCGCAAGCGAAGCTCGATGTGCCGGAGAAATCTGGCGGCGGCATTAAGGAGAAGGATAAGGATTCCGAGGAAAAGGAAGGTGCGTGTTTGTTATCGGTCGCTATGCTCCCAGGATGAATCATCGCGTACATCGCAATATAATTCGGGAAACTGTACTTTTTCGTAATATATTACATGATACATACAGTACTATATAAGAAAAGTCAGGACTATTATTATATATTACAATATAATAATGGTTGTATATTACTTTGTAATATAATATATGTAATAGTTGCATCAGAGAGAGAGAGAGAGGAGAGAGAGAGATCTTTCAAGATATTATCTAATAAGAAATATTATGATGATTTATCTTTTCGATTTTTATATACATTTTAATTTATAGCTTTGTGTCGCTTTATTCAGGTCCCACCGTTGTGCCAGAATGCGCAGTATGCCTGCAGCCTTGTATCCATCCGGCACGATTACCCTGCAGCCATATATATTGCTATCTGTGCGTAAAGGGTGTCGCTAATCAGAGCAAGCGGTGTCCGATGTGTCGTCAAGAGATCCCGCCGGATTTTCTCGAGAGACCTCAGCTGGTGGAAGTGGAGGAGCCTCAGAAGGAGTCGGAACATCCCGAGGAAGAGTACCAGTGGTTTTACGAAGGTCGAAATGGTAAAATATTGATTCAATTGACGATTTATGTTTTGGTCAGCGCTTAAAATCTGCAATTGTGTTGTCTTTCTATGGGAAATTCGTATAAATATCTCATTCGATGTTATTATCTGTATGAATTTTCCTAGCTTGCGAATTCTCTTTTAAAACATTTATACATGGGCGCACAAAATTTGATATCCTACCCCTTCTTAGGTTGGTGGAAATATGATCCAAGGACAAGCAATGATCTGGAGACTATTTACAAACTAGGGGACGCGCAATGCGAACTTTTGATCTGTGGCATGCTTTACGTAATTGACTTTGAAAAGAAATGTCAATATAGAAAATACAACCCACGTTACAAACGTAATATCAAACGTGACAGAAAAGATGCTCCGTGCAAGGGTGTCTCGGGTGTACAATAACATTTGTAAAATGGATTATTTGTCCGTTAAGATCGAAGATACAATTCCAAGTCCGTACTTAACATACTCAACTATATTCATTGGTTTCATACAGCATTATACAAATACTATATACTACATACATTATAATGCATTGCATAAGTAAAAACGGTATAGGATATAAAATAGATTGTGTGCAAGAATATATATGCTAATTTATAAAGTATGTTATGAAAAGCTTTATAAAATATGTATGCAAAGATTCGATAGCTTTAACAATTAAAAGCGAAGAGTTAATTGCCATGATATAATGTTATACGATTAAGGCACTTAACATGAAAGAAATATCTCTTTTTTTTTTTTCAATAAAACTATATTCTACTAAAAATATCTTTCTTTTTCTATTTTCCCAACTGCAGTTTTTGACAACATGTCCTTTAATTCATTTGCAAATGATTGACCTGCATGATCTGTTATTTCCATTGTAACATGGAACAAGTGGTTTTTAAGTAAATTTTTCCAGGTTGGTGGCAGTATGATCAGCGTACAAGTATCGAATTAGAAACGGCATATAAGCAGGGCAAAAGGACCTGCGAGTTGCTGATCGCAGGATTCCTTTACATCGCCGATTTTGGTTCGATGCTTCAATTGCGTAGAAATGATCCCTCCAGACGAAGGAGGATCAAAAGGGATCTGTATAATGTTCCGAGAAAAGGAGTTGCCGGATTACGGCTCAACGTGCAGGACGAAGAGATCGTGAGGGAAATAAGGGGTGCTGAACGGCCAGCTAGTCCTGCGAGTGATAGTATGGGTAAGGCGCGATAAGTGAAATAATAAAATTGTTCGCCATAAGAATATCTTGGATCAAATTTGAAGAGTATTATCGTATTTGCAGGTACAGGAGATGGCACAAATACCCCCATACCGCCTAGTAATACGCCACAGACACCTGCAGGTGGGACAGCGAGTGGCGACGCTACACCTCTAAACGATAGAATAGATCAGAGGTCGGATTCCTTGCATCAGGTCTTGGAACAGATGCGTTCTTTAGTATTAAGAGAGCATCTGTCCTTAAACAGCGATAACGAATTCGAAGAGGATACGGAGGACGCGTCGATTTCGGATCATCCCACCCTTTCATAGCTACAAATATCGAATCCGTATTCGTCACAAATCGCGATAATCTTATTTCGGAATCTCCAATTCTTTTCCAAGCTCTTCGTATCGTTATTCAGCTCAATAAGATAGTATTCTATACAAATACACATCGTGTTTGCTAGAAGTGTATCAATGTATAAACTTTAGTGATCTAGCAAACTGGATTGCTCAACTACAACGTACGGAAATTGATATACAATTAAGTATCTCGAGTTAAGTATCTTAATTTAATAAGTCTTCTTTTTCTGCTTTTAATAACTGTTTAACGTCATATAATCAAGATGAGAAAAATATCAACCAAGTTGTCATCGAAGATAACGAGAGTTTGCGAAAAACAGATTTACAATTTACAAAATAACTACTTGTTGATGAATAATGTACTTAAAAGTCTAACTTTGAGAATTACTGTGTCGTATAGCAGTAATATAAAGCTGCTGTGACAACAATTAGTCGTATTAATTAAGATAAATATACTATAGCTATTCTAAAATGTATTAAAGTTTCTAATAAAAATGTGTTCATGCCTTAGAAAGGCGCGTAAAAAGAGAATATAATGAAAAAAAAAAAAACAATTATTAAGAAAACCGAGTGCAATACTCGCTAATTGATAATTGCTAGTTTCGAATAAAATCTGTAATCTCTTCGATGTTTAGAAATGTCGAATTATCTTCTTCTCTTGTATCACACTCTATCCTCTTCTATAGAAATAAAGGATGCATTTTTTCTCGGCAGTTTTATAACTTGTTCTTCGAATAAAATACGAACTCATAATAAAAAGATCCCTATAAGAATATTTATTTTAATACATACAAGATATATTTGAACATAAATGAATTAATATATGTAATGATATTTTAAAAAATATTTCGCAATAGGTCTGTTCGTTTTAACTGAATTTCTCGCACGGCTCATTTTTCCTCTTTTTCTTCTCACGTTGGAGAAAAAAAGAGAAAAGACGAACCGTGCAAGAAGTTCAACTAAAACGAACAGACCTATATTATTAACAAATTGCGACAATTGCGGAATTCTACAATATTAAGATATCGAAACGGTGGCAGAGAAATAGAAGGAAAAGTCGACGAACTACTGTTCGAAATACAAGGTTGCCTTTTATTATCTTATGCTTTTCAAGAATTTTCTTTGAAATATTTTAATCCCAAAATTTTATTCGCAAAGGATCTGTTATTCGATATATTTTTAATAAAAATATTGACATCTGTTATTATATTATACATATTATATTATTGTATTAATATATACATTGCATTATTATATTATCGTATATTTGATACATTAATCGTTTGAACTGAATTTGAATTTAGCGCCCTCCCGATACGTAGAATTAAGGAATCGTTGTAGGATGTCACGTAAAACAAAGGATAAGCGATAAGCGCCAAAAGTGGTGCGTTTTTCGAAGCGTGGCTTGAAGCGCATTATTGGTGACTTGGTGATCAAGAATATCGAGATTGACGAAAAGAGGCGCGAGAGAATACATCGAGCCTTTCAGGTAACTAACCGTGCAAATATCCGAACATTTTCACGTCCCAATCGCTCGCGGACTTTTTTTTCCCCTCGTCAGAAGTTACGTGTTCGGAGTGTGCGTTGCGTGCGTTGTATGTACACACAACGCGTTTATCTCTGCACAATAAAGGGTCGACAACAAGGGCACGTCGGACGATTGATTGTTTCGGACGATCGTGTCGCGCGTCGCGTGGCTTTCGGCGTCTCGGCAGCGAGAACGGGTGGGAGAGGAAGAGAGAGAGAGAGAGAGGCTAAATCCGCTAAATGAGGTGGAACGTGGAACGCGAATTATTTGGAAGACGTAAAAAGGACGCGGACGCGAATCGGATAGCGCTGGAATGTGTCGTGACTGTCGTGGCGAGCGGGGAACGACGATCGCGAAATTGCATCGAGTTGCCGGCAATTCGAGATTCATCAGTCCGAAACGAGGCGGGGAGCACGCGGCCGCCGCGCCGCCTTCGGCCTTCCGATCGCGCCTCTGCCTCTAGTGCCTCTGCATAATCGGCACGGCACGTAACCCAATATCCGCGGTATCTCGAAACGTTTCCCCCTCGCGCTGCGAGGGACGAGATTACGGTTCTTCGTATACTGTCGTATACTAATAACGGTGTCACGTTGCAGGAGCGATCCAGACGGATGCGAGAAACGCCAGAACTGTGTGTGACGCGCATAAGAAACTGACCTAAAAGAAAAATAAAAAAGAAACGTGGTCGGGGCGAGCCAGCACCATGACCCAGCAACCGTCCTCCGAGGTCGTTGTTTTCGTCACTCACGTGGAATCCGACGACATATACCTGAAGATATGGGGCCAGATGGACAAGCAGGCTGCTACCGCCATAGAGCATTACATATATCCTCTGGTGGAACAGTTCAATCAGGGATACGGCTGCCCTTCCAAAGGGAATAGACTGATTGTCGGCACGTTGTGCTGCGCCAGATTTCAAACCGAGGGCTTCTATCGGGCGAAGATACTCAGCGTGCGTCCCGATGGCATGATTGTCGTGCAATTTATTGACTACGGCAACATAGAGGTTCTACCGCCAAGCGAGATCCATTTGTTGGACAATATACGTGGATCAGATCCTTTGAAGGCTTATCCACCAATGGCAGCTGAATTTACATTGCTCAATGTATTACCTGTAAATGGTGTTTGGGAAAATAGAACGGTTGACGGAATTAGAAAGATTCTGTGTTATAACGAATTCAGAGCGTTGATTCAGATGATGAATAATCGTTGCCTGATTAAGCTGTGGTACAACAACGAAGACTTCGGCGAGCTGCTGGTGAAGGAACGTATGGCTTTACCAGCCACTTTGCAGGATATGTTCAGGTATGACAAATTTTATAATTGATTTTTTAAATTTAATGATAGATTTTTTTTAAACTGTTTTTATCATACTGTATTACTTAATTTTTTATTTAGGCCAAAGCATTCGGTGCAAAATCGAATACTTCAACAAATGCCGCCATATCAGCAACAAAACAAGGGCAATATGAATAACTTTGCAACAATGCCAATGATGCAAAGCCCAAATGTGAATCATAATGTCAATATGCAACAAGGGTTATACCATAAGACTTTTTCTCCCGATGTACAACACAAACACGCTGTTCAACCGATACTGCAGCATCCGCCGGCAACGCAGCATCCACCACCACCGCCTGTTCAAGAAGCGCTCGTGTTTAAATCGCGAGTATTAGACGTGGGCTCGAGTCACGAAGTGTTGATATCTCACGTAGAAGACGGCCCGCAAAAATTTTCCGTACAAGTTGAGAGCACGAGGGCTATACTGACTCGTCTTATGAACGATATAAACAACCATCCAAAGCAACCGTTGCAAGAACCACCCTTGCCGGGATCGGTTTGCTTGGGACGCTACAAGGACACTTCGGGAGACCGAGTGCTATGTCGGGCAGTTGTAATGTCTGTAATGGAGCATAAATGCAAATTGTATTACGTTGATTTTGGCCATACGGAAGTTTTGCCGTATACAGACATTTTCCAATTGCCACCTGAATATATTAATCCTAAGGTGCTTTCCATTCGATTCACATTAAGCGGCTTAAAAGAACTGAGTATCTCGCAGGAGATGAAAGAGTTTTTTAAGGACCTGGTGTACAGAAGATTACTTATTCTGCACGTCCGTCCGCCGGAAGGGCCGCCGTTGATTCAGTACGGTGACTTGTACGACAATGGTGTTAACGTGAAGGATATGCTAAAAAAAGGATTCCCAACACCAGCCGCAATGATACCTATAACATATTCCTACCCACAATTACGACAATTGGCTAAAGATTTCCAGGAAGTGGTGCACGTCTCTTATGTAGAGTCGTGCAAAAAATTCTATGTACAACTTGACAGTGGAGTGAAGTCCCTTGAGTCAATAATGGCTGGCTTGGCGCAGTATGCTAAAACTGCATCTACTTTAAATATAGCGCAACTGAAAGCAGGATTACCCTGCGCCGCTCTATACGATTCATCATGGTAAGTTTGAAATAGCTTAACGTTCTCTGCTATCGTTACTCTCTGGGTTAGTAATTATAAAATAAATGTTTATCTTTTTTTTTTTTAGGTATCGTGCACAAATCCTTGGTATTGTTGGAGACAAAGTTAAAGTAGTATATGTTGATTATGGAAACGAAGAAGTGTTACCTGTTATATCACTTCGCACTATTCATGATGATTTAGTAACGAAATTGCCAGCACAAGCTATAAAGTGTGCATTGAATGGCTATGAGGTGCTTTCACTAGACCAGGAGGTTTCTAATCATTTCGAAAGATTGACGCTCGAGAAACGTTTTTATATGAAAGTAGTTGCTGCACAACCCAATGGCCTATTAGTCGATTTATTCGAATTTGACACAATGAGGAGCGTTCATCCTCAATTATTGAACAATTTGTTCTGCGATAAAACCGAAAATTCTACGACAAGCTCGCGAAACGAGGAAGTTCAGCATCCTGTAAAGACGATGAATGAATTCCAGAGGTAATAAATCGATAGTAATTTTGGTCTGAAACCTGGCTATTGTTAATATTGTATATAAAATTAAGTTAAAGCAAATGTTTCTTAACGAATTATGTGATATATTCATCATCACTTAACTCATAATGACATTTTGTATAAAATGCAATTTATCGCATCACAGGTCTCATAAAAATCCAAGGATATAACATATACATTTTAATTGGATAAAATTGTGTTCAACGTAAACTATATTTCTATTTATGTTGAGAAGTATTAGCATTTTATGATTTCATATTAAGTTTACGTTTAAATTTTACTTTAATTTATTTTAATTTTTAATGAATTCTCTTTGTATAAATTTTATAATTGAATAATTTTCCCTAGTATTGCATTATTGCTTTTTCCCTTATGTGTGTGTGTGTGTGTGTGTGTGTGTTGTATTTATATAAAATTATTTTAATACAGCTATTTCTTTTACAGTGAAGATAAAGACAAGTATGGCAAAAAAAGTAACGTGGATTCTTGGAATCGTAATCAAAATACTAGGCCCTTCCAAGACAATAAGTCAAGTACTTGGAAAGGGGAATGGTCTCAAGAAAAACAATACGACAACAAACGTGAAAGAACCGGCAATTATTCCCAACGTGACGGTTCACAGAATGATCGGTTTATTAAGGACAAAGCAGCAAACAATAGATTCAACAGAGATAAATCGTATAATAAATATGATGAAGGTGATGCAAATGGATCTAACAGAAGTAATAGATTTCCTCGCGATAATGGAAATAGATTCCCTCGCGATAATGGAAATGAAAGGAGATACCGTAACAATTCGTCTGATAAGGCAAATAGCGACAAAGATTCTGATACTTCGTCCAAAGATAATGATAGACGGAGGAAAGGTGGTTTTAAACGTGATGGTTTTAACGATAGCCGAGGAGGAAGCCGCGACGGTGGAACGTCGGGCAGGTTTCAAACTACGAATTGGAATGACAGAAAAGCTACGCCTTATAAGGCTAATTATAGAAATGAGAAATTTAACGGTATTTAGTACTTATAAACATATTACTTGATGTATAATGTATAAATAATATGCAAATGTGATTTTATGATACATTTTGTTAAATCTAGGTGATTATGATGGCGGCAATAAATTCAGAAATAAAGAGGATAATACAAATAATGTTTATGATCCGGTAGGAAAAGATCAATTATAAAATATGAATTATATATTTGTACGTTTA